CTGAGTGGCAAAAGATCTGCTGCGTGACTGGATTTAATAGGGGGAAACTGCGAAAATGCGACTAAAATGAACAATTTGATCAATTTAAACTCAATGTTGGACTCAATATAGTGTTCCTTACAACTTACTAAATATCCAGTGATCCATGGATATTGACATGCAGCCAGGAATCGTGTTACCTGACATTTATGTTTGCCTGATTTCGACACCGAGGAAATAAAAGCAATATAGACCTAAACATAAAGCAGATTTTCATGTGAACGCTTTATATAAATACAATATAGTTAGGTCTAAATCCGGGTGATCACTTATATCAGTGTTATATATAGCCTATATATCATCATACCGTCCAGCCCTAAAACTTTATAGTTTTTTTTTGGTCAGTGTTTATTAAAAAACATCCAATAATGCAGAGTATGCAATGATAAATACACTGTAAAAAATAAACCGTAAATTTTACGGTAAAAAACCGGCAGCTGTGGTTGCCAGAACTTTACCGTTACCATTAACGTTCCTACCGTATTTTTAACGGTAAAGTTCTATAAATACGGTAACTAATAAATAAATACGGCAAAAAATACGGTAGGAACGTTAATGGTTTTACAGACTTAACTTAAAATTTACAGTAATAAACCATCATTTCTTTTCTGATAAAATGTGGATTTACCAACTTATTGCTGTATTGATATCTGTTTTAGACCATTGTAATACACTGCTCATGTAACTCTCATCACTGCTGTGATGAGTGTTGGTTGTCAATCACAGCTCATCACAAGTGAATACTTGTATAAAGCAATACTTAATTAAAGAAGCTGCACAATGTCATTCATACAAATATTAAGCACCATCATGGTAACACACATGAAATTAAAAAAATGCAATAAACATTAATTTAACAACATTAAATGTAACATATAACCCTAATGTACATAACTGATTAGAAAAAAAAAAAACTATGAGGAACCATAGTTATTTCAACAAAAATACATAAAATGTGAAGTGTCACACAGGGAATTGTGGGAATGTCAATTTACGGTTTTTCACTGTAAATTATACAATGATTTGTTCTTTTTCACTTTTTAAAAACTGTAAATTTAACGGTATTTTACTGTAAAATTATATCACAGTTATTTACCGTATATAGTACGGAAACTTTACCAATTAACAGTTTTGCACTGTAGCATTTTTACAGTATTTTACCGTTAAAATCACGGTTATTTTTTACAGTGTATTTAATTGATGAGTTGTTAATATATATATATAACAATACAAAATATATGGGTATGGTTTTACACCTAAATTCAGCATATTGACACAAAATGATAACTGCAAATCCACCTTTCTCTGACTGGAGTCCAGTTATTTCTGTGAATTGTAGAGATCCATTTGCTCCTCTTTCTATATCAGTCTGTAAAAATATACCTCCATTTTTTTTTTTGTCAAATCTAGTTGTACAGTCAATCGCAAAGCTCTTTCCCACTTTATATGTGTTGTGTTTGTTTTACACGGCATTCACGCTAAAAACAAATACAGCCGCTCAGTCTATTTGCCACTCACTGTGAGTAACCGAGGCACTCCGGTCGACGGTGACGTCACGCGCATACCCTCAATTCCAGCGCATTTAGTTCCTAGTTACACTAAATTGCCAGAGAAAAGCCATTTTCTTGCTAATGCATGGGTTTTTATGGCACAGCTGCACAGTGCATCATCTTGTACACTTCCACCAAGTGGCAAGCCGTTGTATTTGGATTTTTTCCCCTCAAATCTAAGATGGCCGACAGCCAGTCAGAAATACCAAGTTGCTCCAGATCCATTCATTCCTTGTTGTAACATCAAATAACATCTAAGGATTCAGATCATTGTGGGGGTTTTTTTAAAGCATTTTCAAGTATTGATTTTAGATTGGGAGGAAATTCTGAATCTTATTCATCTGTGCATGCATTTTTGTTTTGATCAAACAATATATATTTTTTGTATATACTTACATGATTTGATATTTTATTCATTAGTTGGTTAAATACATACTGTATTGCGTATTTATTGCTGTATTAAAATCTCTTCATTTAAAACCAAATACTGTCCACTCAAGTGGACAACCTAAAGAAAAATGTGTACAAAACCATGTTCAAATTTAGTTTTTCATGCCCTTAGAGCAATAAAAACACAGGAAAAAAAAATCATAATTCTTGCACAAAAGTTGTGCTTTTTAGTGAATTTCCCCTTTTTAAATGTGCTTAAAATGTGGTTTAAACTTAGATATAAAACGTGTATGTGTCTAGTGCCTAAACAGATGAGATTCTGAAAATATTATGCAATATTGATTTTGTTTCAAGTGAATATGAGAAGGAAATTTAGACAAAAGAAGAGCTCTCTCTCTCCATCTCCACCACCTCTTAACCAAATTTAGCTGGTAATATGTAATAACGTCATCTCGTCAGGCCGTTCTCCTTCTTCGAATGGCAGCCGTAAATGCTCTGACTTAAAATATCTGTCTGCTGCAATTTCATCCTGCCATTTGCAGCAATTATTCCTGAAGAAACAGAAGGAATGCCAGTAGACAATCAATTAAACAGATTCTGGCCCTTCCATTTTTCTTTTCTGATACAATGAACTTTTTCATTCATTTTCAACAGGTGTGTGTCGATTCCATCTGTTGCCAGTTGGATGTTAACGCTTACTCGTTAGGGAATCGCATTATAATTGGTTCTTGTTGAAGTCAACATGAAACAACATTTGCAGCAGAAGTGGGAAACAATTAGAATTTAAGAACTAGCTGGCTCTTGTTCAAATCATGAGTTGGACTGACAAGAAGAGCAGTTTACTGAATTATATTCAAATAAACTCAACAAAATCTCAAAGCAGAGGAGTTCATCAGTCCAAAATGAACAAAATAGTGTGCTTAAAAATAATGAGATATACACACTACTGTTCATTTGGTGTTGGTAAGATTTAATGATCGCCAAGCCTACATTTATTTAATTAAAAATACACTAAATACTGTTTTTTTTATTTATTTTAAAATGTAATTTATTCTTGTGATGCAAAGCTGAATTTTCAGCATCACCTTCAGTGTCACATGATCCTTCAGAATTCAGTCTAATATGATGATATGATGACAAGACGTCATACTTAATAAAACAGGCTGTAGATCCTAATATGGTGTAATATCTAATTTGTATTCCCTACCACTAGATGGCAGACATGTAATACTTCGATTCAAGATCAAAATGACGTTCAAAGTGTTGGAGGAAACAGCAGAGCAAGAGAACGATCGTGTTATTGATGCGGAAGCAGTGTGAGATTTGTGAGAGAAAATCGTCATATAGCTAATACAAACTTGTACCGTGAGGATGCGCTGCAAATGTTATTCGCCGATTCTGACTCTGAAGGGGAATATTTGCCTTTTGTAAGTGACGATCAGCCGCCTAATGACCGCGCTTCTCCCGGTACATCTTTGTCGCGCAATGATGCGTTACCACCATTGGAACGTCAAATACAAGTACTCCACAGAGACTCTAGAGGTCGCTGTTTGACAAAAATGGAATTCCTGCATGGTGTGCCTTTAACCCCCTGAGCCCGACGGCGTCGTCGACGATGCCACACGTCACCTCCGATAAATGTTTACATAACTCGATGACAGATTTATCGATTTTCTTACCGTTTTTTCCAGCAGAAAGCTAACGAGCTAGCCATCACGGGGGTGTCTTTCGGGTCTTTCTAGCCTTTACAGAAGGTTTTCTATCCAGCCTGGAACTTGTGCTTCCTTTCAGAGGTTTTCAGCAATAAATCCAAACGCTTTATGTCAAACTTTGATAATCTTGAAGCCCATAATTCATATATATTCGGTCATTTTTGCCGCTAGCTTGATGCTAGCGGACATCCTGGATATCACGTGATGTTTTCACGTGATGGTTTTTGACCAATTACAGGCTGATCCGTTGTAAACATTGGTGTGCGTCATTACGCATGAACCAAGCGCTGATATAGTGTAAAGAGATAGAGAGACTCACGGAGACGCGCGATTCACAGAGAAACACAGCGAAATGGACGTAAATAAAGCGCTGGTCTATTTTGGTGCATTGCAGGATGAAGGATTTTCAGGAGAACAGAGCTTTTTGACAGATGAGGAACTAGATTACCAGGATAGACCCAGCTGAGGTGCCATTTATTTATTTACTGTAAAAAAGTATTATAGTAGTATAAATGTATTATAAAAGAATAAAAAGAACATAATAAATAAAAGAATAAATAAAATAGAAATGCAAAACCTGTGATGTGGCCCTCTGTGTGATTGCTGATAGGAACTGTTTTGAGGCTTGGCACCAGTGAATTTCATGAGGCCCCAAACGCCTGGACTTCTTTTGGAAAAATGTCAATATTTTTTGTTCTGTACAAGTTATAATGTTTATTCCTGTGCTCCAGGACTCCAAAGACATGAACAAACTATTTTCCAGAGGAAAATTGCTTAGCTTTTATTTATTTGTGTGTGATTTCAATAAATAATTGAGTGATTCCATTTCCGATTTATTTTTTCATTTGTCTTTATGGTCCCATAACTTATTTTACATTCAGGTGACATCAATGTAACACAAATATGCTGAAAGTTCAATTTGTCCTGAAAAAAAAGAGGTGTGTCAATTGTCTGTGCACCAAAGGGTTGATATTTTACAAGCTTTTTTAGTAAATGACACCAGACGGAAAATTTATTGTAAAAATACCCTTAGGTCTCAGAGGGTTAATTTGTTAAACTGATAATTTTTTAGGATCCTTTGATAAACAGAAAGTTCAAAGAAACAGCATTTACAAAATAAGAGTTTGTAAAAGTATTAATTTCTTTTAAAAAAATGTACAAAAAAAAAACCTATGTATAGTTGGCACCATATAGATGATTTTTTATACATTTAACTTTTATCCATAATTTTTTTTTAGGTGATAGGTCAAAAAATTAATCAATTTTGATGAAAGATTACGCACATAAATTACTTTTTTTTTTTTTTTAGGATAACATATACCGCTGTTCATGTAAACAAAATCAATATCAAGTTCATGTTGATTGAAATTCAAGAACTTCTCCAGCATGAGGTAAGTGTGTTTTATTTATATATATATAACGAGATATATATATATCGTTATGAGATTAAAAAAACAAGACCCAGAGGTTTGAGAATAAATTATCTTTTCATAATTAATGCTAACCTTGAGAAATGTATTGTGTACGCTTGAATGCTTAATGCATTTATCATGTCTTAAACTAAAGGACATACTATATATAGAACTGTTTTCAAAAAGGATTCATCAATATTTCTAATCTCTCAGCAGAAAGCCCTGCCCCGAATGAGTCTCAATTTGGCTTGTTATAGCATTGCCCGTTTAATCCCTATACTGGTAGATGCTGGAATCGCACCATCTCCAAAAAACATCTTTCTCCTTTGACAGCCATTTAAACGCAGCTGTATAATTCTCTCAATACCATAGGTAAAATATGAAATTCACATATTGTAATAAATTTTACAGACTCTAGTGGACTTAAATTTGTAGCAATTCCAGCCAATCAGCATCATGATGTCACATTCCAGCAGCTCCAGACTCATAAGTTGCTTTGCCACGAAGTATTTTAACAGAAAAAAAATGACATTTTACACATATTAGAGTTTAACAGGTGTAACATTTGTAATGTTTGATCCTGAATCATTATGGCATTACCACTCCTCTAATGACAGCCTATCTTGGCATCACATGATCTATTTGCGCTCTCTTCGCGGCCTACGGTGGACCATCAAAAAAAAAATCCTCCGAACCACTCAGATAGATAAAACCTCTCCTCAATCATCTGAAACCTGTCAGAGACTAAAACGGCTCATTAATAGCTAAATGAATTACATAATAAAGCCCCTGGCATACCGCCTCATGCACCGCTATACGTTCACGCCATCTTTATTGATCCAGCTCCTGAGGGTTGATATACAGCACCGATCTAATTGTGTTCAGTGAAGAGTTTATGGCGTTTGCAAGGAGAAGCATCTATTAAAGGCTGCTTGGCTAGAAAGCCACGTGACGGCCTGTCAACAAAGCCCTGAGATGAAATGGTGCCTCTGTCATTAAAAATAATAGCAACAGAAGAGTGGAAAGAGGAAAAAAAAAACAGCCTTTTATATTCAATGGAAATCTAGCTTGCAAGTAAAGAGACGGCGGTAGACAGAAGACATAACACCAGAAAACACAGCCACAAAGTGCTAATTAGAGAAATCAAACCCTTTTTCAGAAGACACATTTGAATATGAGAATATTAAAAGGGATCCCTCATTCCCACTTTGTCACTTCTACAGTGCATTGCTGAAAGTCTAGCTGTAATTTTATTAATTATTCTTTTTTTATACTTCTAAAGGGAACACGTTTAGAAATAATGATTGTAATTCTAATGCCAACGGATGAGATCAATTTGACAATATAGTAAATCATCTGTAGTAAAAGAGTACTTTGTATAAAATTCGTTCAGTCATTTTTTATATATAAAATACTACACTCTCAGACAAAAATGCTATAAAAGCTGCATGATACCCTTTAAAAAGTTCTAAAATGTACTATTTAGGTACTAATATGTACATTTTAAAGTCCCTGTGAAATCAAAATTGAACCTATTTACTTTGCTAGCGCATATAGTCTTGTGGTGAACAATTAATCCGTGCAAGTAAATAAAAAAAAAATTTACCATGGTAATCTTTAATCAAAATCTGAAAAGTTACATCCGGTCTGGAATGGTGTCTTTTTCTGATGACGGTTTGACGGCTTGGGTTAGGAAACGCTTAACCACTCCCCTCAAACCGTTCTATTTTAAATCTATTTTGTCCCATATTTGACATTTGACATTCAAGCATTAACATTAATTCTTTCAGTTCACTGTAAGTTCTACGTCGTGTTTAGTTAGTGGTTCTGTTCCTGATCTTGTTCTTGCTCCTGATTTTTTGAAGATTTGAATTTATTTCTAAATAAAGACTGTTGCACCGAGATCATTTTTCATCTCTGCTGCAACCAACGTCACACATAATGCAGTTGTGTACCGTATATTTTACTCATAATACATATTTTCTGCTGCTTATAGACCAGACTAAATGATTTATGCAAAAGATGTTTACTCAGCTCACTTGCAGAAAAATAAATGCAGAAATGTAATAGAAACGCACTGAACACTGATTATATGCAAACCTATAATTATTAAATGACACATCAAATAATGCAGTTAGCAATAATAAACCATAAACTGTGTCCACATCGTATTATTATGCTTATTTATATCTCTGATGAGGATTGATATTTCGGTTGACAATTTCAAACATTAGATCTTGATAAGGGCGTGTTGTTCCAACCGAGAAGGCAGTTTTAATATGGCAAGCCGTATTAACTTTTATTCATTTCCAGGATATGAATTCTTGATATCAACAATTCAATTCTTGCTATCAACAATTCAATTTTTTGATATCAAAAAATTGAATTCTTGATATCAACAAATGTATTTTCACTTGTGAAATGTCAGCATATGCTATTCAAAACCAATCGTTGATATCAAGAATTGATTTCTTACTAGTTCAAATTCCAATTTCACATATCAGAAGTATAATTATTACTAGTAAAAACCTTTGTTTTTGATATCAAGAATTCAATTCTTACTTGTTGAAATGTCTATTCTTGATATCCACAATTGAATTGTTAGTTGTGTTTTCATTTTTGATATCAATAATTTATTTTTTACTAGTGACAATGTTAATTTCTGATATCATGAATGTGATTGTTACTAGTAAAAACAATCAAAAATAATAATTTTACTAGTACAAACTGAATTGTGGATATCAAGAATTTCAACTAGTGACAATTTAATTATTGATATCAGGAATTCACATTTTTACTAGTACCAATGTAATTATTGATATCAAATATGATATTTCTTCTAGTAAAAAATCAATTCTTGATATCAACATTTTTTTTTTTTGAATGGCAGCCTATGGTGAAATTTCACTAGTGAAATACAATCAGCAATTAAATTGTTGATATCAACAATTCCATTTTTATATATCAAGAATTAAATTGTTGATATAAAAAATGTAATTGGTGATATCAAGAATTGAATTGTTGATGTCAAGAATTCATAGTTGGAAATGAATAAAAGCTTAAACGGCTTGCCATAGTTTTAAGTCATTTAGTTCCCCTGCAGTCAGAAAAAAAAAGGAAAAGTATATTACACACCTGAGTGTTTTGTGTGAATTAAGAGATCCCTGTGGATCTTCACTATTTGCTGAGCTTGAATCACCAGAAGAAAGAATGAAAGATAACCTCAGCATATCTCGATGAAGTACCGCACTGGGGTTCACAGTAATATACGAATGGGGTTTTCTTTCACTAGAACAACCTGGATGCTGCCATATTTGCGTCATGAACCAATCACATGACCTGAGCCACCTTGGAGCAGACAGCGAAAACAATTCCTTACACAAACTGCATCATGGCAAAGTAAGCAAAACAAAGTCCCCGGAAATATAAACAATGCTACAGTTTTTTTTTTTTTTCTTTTCTTGAAAGCTCATAATTGCAAGTAGCTCATTTTATGAATTATTTATGAATGAAATACATTTGAACTTTGTCGGTGTAGCAATTAATATAAACTACGGGCCTGATACATAAATATTTTTCGAGTACATATTATAAAAGCTTCACATATACTGTGTAGGCCTATTTATGCGTGATTATTAAAAGTGTCTCTGTGGAGGTCATCAGAGAAGCAATTAGAAGTTTCCCTGAGGGAAGTCAGCAGGAGGGACGGAGACATATGGAGAGATCCAGCCGCTTTTGTGCTTTATTCACCATGGTGACCTGAAAGAGAAATTGTTTACTTAGTTAAAGTTGGTAAATCCTTCCCCAGCCTGCCAGTATTCATGTTATAATGCCACAAGACGTCATATAACTGACGTCTTTTGACCCTACGTCAACAACCGCCTTTTTAGGGTACCCTTAAACATCGGATCCTAACCCTACCCCAGACCTAAACGTACCCCGTCACCTAACCGACGTTAAAGGTAAAGCGTCAGTTGTATGACGGCCCGGGATCGTCATGTAACCGACGTTTAAGGGTACCCTAAAAAAGGCGGATGTTGACGTATGGTCAAAAGACGTCCCAAGACGTCAGTTACACTCTCAGAAAAAAAGGTACAAAAGTTGTCACTGGGGCTGTACCTTTTCAAAAGGTAAACTTTTGTCCATTTCATGAGCTAATAAGTACATTTTAGGTGTTAATATGTACATTTTGGATGCTAATATGTACATTTTAGGTGCTAATATGTCCATTTCAGGATATGTCAATTCCATGAGCTAATATGTCCATTTTAGGTGGTAATATGTACATTTTAGGTACTAATATGTACATTTTAGGTCTTAATATGTACATTTTAGTTGCTAATATGTACATTTTAGGTGGTAATATGTACATTTTAGGTGCTAATATGTCAATTTCATGAGCTAATATGTCCTTTTTAGGTGGTAGTATGTCTATTTTAGGTGCTAATATATACATTTAGGTGGTAATATGTACCACTAAGGTACCAATATGCAGCCTTTGGGTACAAAAGTGTACCTTTTGAAAAGGTACAGCCCCAGTGACAGCTTTTGTACCTTTTTTTCTGAGAGTGTATATGACTTCTTGGGATGAGACTGTGTTAAATGCCACTGAAATGATGTCAAGCATTTGGGAGGTTTGGATGACCTTGCATTTTCCTGGTAATGGAGAGTCTTATTTAATTAGAGTGGAATCAGAACCGAAATCGCAAACTTGCATTGAAGAGAAAAGCCACGGCAGAAACTCCCCTGCAGCACGTCAGCACTTCTATGGCGACATTAACCATGAAAATCAAGTCAATTTGGTCAACGGCCAGCAGATGGGTGCTGGAGGTGGTAATTATCTTCATGACAAGTTTGCATATTTCCCGACAAGCTCTAACAAGATGCTAACGTTCTTTTGCTCAGAGACCCACTGATGCGAGTTCACACTAACGTCAGATTAATTGGACACTGGCTCATCATCACTGACCACTCATTGT